GGCTTCCTCAAATGCCCTAGGTCTTCATGAGCAAGCAAGTTGGATGCACACCCACTTAGTTTCAGTTTGAGCTTTCATATACTTATAGCTCTAGTGCATCTGTTGCATGGCAATCCCTACTCACTCACATTGATATCTATTGATGGGCACCTCCATAGCCTATTGATATGCCTAGTTGATGTGAGACTATCTTCTCCTTTTTGTCTTCTCCACATAACCCCCATCATCATATTCTGTTCCACCTATAGTGTTATGTCCATGGCTCACACTCATGTATTGCGTGAAAGTTGAAAAGGTTTGAGAACGTCAAAAGTATGAAACAATTGCTTGGCTTGTCATCGGGGTTGTGCATGATGTGAACATTTCATGTGGTAAAGATGGAGCATAGCCAGACTATATGATTTTGTAGGGATGAGCTTTCTTTGGCTATGTTATTTCAATAAGACATAATTGCTTGGTTGGTATGCTTGAAGTATTATTATTTTTATGTCAAAGGATAGACTATTGCTTTGAATCACTCGTGTCTTAATATTCATGCCATGATTAGACATATGATCAAGATTATGCTAGGTAGCATTCCACATCAAAAATTATTTTTTTATCATTTACCTACTCGAGGACGAGCAGGAATTAAGCTTGGGGATGCTGATACGTCTCTGTCGTATCTATAATTTTTGATTGTTCCATGCCAATATTATTCAACTTTCATATACTTTTTGGCAACTTTTAATATTATTTTTGGGACTAACATATTGATCCAGTGCCCAGTGCCAGTTCCTGTCTGTTGCATGTTTTTGGTTTCGCAGAATATCCATATCAAACGGAGTCCAAACAGGGTAAAAATGGACGGAGCTTATTTATGGAAAATATGGAAAATTCGGAAGGAAAATCAACACGAACCAGTGCCCGAGGTGGTCACGAGGCAGGCCCCCCCTAGGGCGCGCCCCCTACCCTCGTGAGCCCACCGTAAGGCGGTTAACGCTCTTCTTTTGCCGCAAGAAAGCTAATATTCGGAAAAAAATCACGGCAAAGATTTCAGGCCAATCGGAGTTACGGATCTCCATATATATACGAAATGGTGAAACAGAGCCAGAAGAGAACGCAGAACCAGAGAGAGACAGAGAGATAGATCCAATCTCGGAGGGGCTCTCGCCCCTCCCATGCCATGGAGGCCATGGACCAGAGGGTAAACCCTTCTCCCATCTAGGGAGGAGGTCAAGGAAGAAGAAGAAGGGGGGGCTCTCTCCCCCTCGCTTCCGGTGGCACCGGAGTGCCACCGGGGGCCATCATCATCACCGCGATCTTCACCAACAACTTCACCGCCGCCATCATCACCAACTCTTCCCCCCCTCTATGCAGCGGTGTAACCTCTCTCTTACCCGCTGTAATCTCTACTTAAACATGGTGCTCAACGCTATATATTATTTCCCAATGATGTATGGCTATCCTATGATGTTTGAGTAGATCTGTTTTGTCCTAATGGCTATTTGATGATCGTGATTGGTTTGAGTAGTATGTTTTATTATTGGTGTTGTCCTATGGTGCTCTCCGTGTCGCGCAAGCGTGAGGGATTCCCGCTGTAGGGTTTACAATATGTTTATGATTTGCTTATGGTGGGTGGCGTGAGTGACAGAAGCACAAACCCGAGTAAGTTGGTTGTTTGCGTATGGGATAAAGGGGACTTGATGCTTTAATGCTATGGTTGGGTTTTACCTTAATGAATAGTAGTTGCGGATGCTTTCTAGAGTTCCAATCATAAGTGCATATGATCCAAGTAGAGAAAGTATGTTAGCTTATGCCTCTCCCTCAAATAAAATTGCAATAATGATTACCGGTCTAGTTATCGATTGCCTGGGGACAAATAACCTTCTTGTTAACAAAAGCTCCTTACTAAAAGTAATTTAGTTGTGTCTTCATCTAAACAGCCCCTACTTTATATTTACTTGCTCTTTATTATCTTGCATACCTATCCAACAACACCTACAAAGTACTTCTAGTTTCATACTTGTTTCCGGTAAAGCGAACGTCAAGTGTGCGTAGAGTTGTATCGGTGGTCGATAGAACTTGAGGGAATATTTGTTCTACCTTTAGCTCCTCGTTGGGTTCGACACTCTTACTTATCGAAAGAGGCTACAATTGATCCCCCTATACTTGTGGGTTATCATGTACTAGAAACTCACAGATGACCTATCGATGCGTCTCATGGTCAGGTTTGGCCGACTCGGACCTTATATCGACTCGGATCCGACTATGTCAAATCCGATCAAATCTTCCCAAGTCCATATTATCCGGTTAGCATCCAATGCTCCCTGGCCAGTGAGACCAAGCCATTCATCGAGTCATATTCTAGTTTAATTGGTTGTGCATCCACACAAGCCTTTCGACTAGGGACCTTTTAGGACAGTCATCATACAATATGTAGTCCCACAAACAAGTCACATACTTGCTGATACACATAATTGATAGTATCCAAGTACTATCTTTATTCATATATAAACACATAGGAAATATCATCATACATGATTGCCTCTAGGGCATATCTCCAACACAGACCCCTAGATCCGGATCTAGGAATGCCACTGTCAGTGACAATAGCACGCCTGAGCAACCCTCGGCTTCACCTCTCGCCATGCACATGACCAAGAAAGAAGGCCATCACTGCATGGTGCACAACCCACAATAGGAGGAGTAAAGGAGTCTCCTTTCACTCCTAGGCAAGCATTAGCCACAGAGTCTGGGTCGATGCCTTCATGGTAGGAGGCACCCATGCCTGCATCCCTAACCAGTCCCGATACACCGAGAGAGACACAACCACATGACTACATAGGGTCGAAGCTCAGTCGACGCCATTCTCATGGCCTTTTATGCTGATTGGCCCGACAATGTAACAGTGCCTCGATCACCACTAACGACCACAACACCCGCGGGGAGAGGGATCACATCTTCGCGGGCACAACCCAGACCGAGTCCACCATCACCTACCCAGAGCGAAAACTCCGACCCACCTCGGGCCCTAATCCGATATGCCCAAGCACGGACCCCGAGTCTAGGCCATCTCCATCGCACGAGCAGCGGGCAGCACCGGCGTGGACCCAGGAGAAAGAAGGAACCACCACCATGCACACCACGCCGTCGGCCGCCATCGCGTGAGCCACCATGGCCACATCGATGACCGTTGCAACCACGCCACTGGGCGGCCGCAGCCACCTGAGCCCACTAGACCGAGCCACCACGAGCAAGGACTACTACTTTGGAGCCCCCGCCACGCCACCATCGTCGCAGCAAAGGCCGACCTGTGCCGCTCACGACCCTCGTTAGAGAGGCATCTACCTGTCAGATTTCGCCGTAGCCCCGCTGCCATCACGGCCACCTACGCGCGCTCCACCACACCCACCACGCGGCCTAAGGCACAACCGTCGCACAGGCGCCCACCACTACACCTACGCGCCGGCCCCTGCACGCGAGGGAACGAGGAAGCCCCGCTGCCGCCGGCTCCGGTTGAGCTTTGCCCACCCGAGTCCTGTGGCGGCGGCTAGGGAGGAGGGGTTGGGAACCTGGTGGCGACAGACTAGGGTTACCTCCCGGCCGCCGCGGGAGGCGTTGGGAGGACAGAGAATCTTCGATCATATTATCATTGACCGCCAACTTTGTTTATCATTATCACTTATCTTAAAAAATACTAAAAATGCATGTATAACTACTTTTGATACAGGTAGAGAAGATGCGCGGGCTGGCGCAGTCAATTTCCGGCAGCCAGTCGTAGCAGTCTCATCAGTTGCAAGAAGGTAAATTTCCGGCAACCAGTCGTAGCAGTCTCATCAGTTGCAAGAAGGTAAATTTTCAAACTATATATGCCGGTAGCGGAAAGAGGCTTTATATAATGCTGAGTAAATAGGCAATTTTCCGACTAACTTAATCCATAGATAAATCACTAGCATGGCATTTACTGAATTAACAACATACTGACTCTGATCTAAATATGCATGTACTAAGCAAACAGTAGACATATCTACACATACTGTTAGTACTGCTAATACAAAAATAAATATGAGCGGGATAAACATGTTATACCCTCCATAGGCCAGGCAGAAGCCGCGGCGTCTTCGGCGGCGGCACGTTTGGCGTCGGTGGACATGGTGATGACGAAGACGACGCGGACGTACAGGATCCGGAGAGGCGGGGTTTTGGCGGCTAGAGTCAGGAGACACAGCACACTTATATAAAAGCATGCCGCGCCGAGGCAGGCGGCGGAGGAGGAATGCGCGTGGGCCTCTTCTATTCTCAAGCTCCAATAGCATGTGGAAGATAATACTTTATAAAAAGGTCCAACTCCTTCTCCACTTGCGAGATGGGACTAAACTTTTCACTACACTTAGTGTCATATAACCCATATGGACCCTTAGAGATTTTCTGAAATTATTGAATGGGCCTAAAGCCCACCCCATATTTCAGCATATAACACCTCACCTATGCTTCTTAGTGCGACGCACGATCATAGTACTGCCACCCCACTAAAGACTGAAAGTACGTGTATGCCACAACCATGCAACAGTCGAGCAACCAAACAGCCAGAGCCTCTCTCTTTGGTGGCAGCACGAGGTAACGCAAGAAACCAACAGATCAGCCCGTGTAAACTCCGCGTCTTCCCCACGTTGACAACCTCGTCTCGATCGTCTCATCGTCCCTCCTGCATGACGCGCCGCCTTCTGACGGCATGCAAGCGAGCCCTTGCGCGGCTTTTCCGCATCCCGGCCACCGCCGCCCTCTCTATCAGGGCCTTCCGGTTCCGCAATCTCCGCAAGTCCACCGCCAAGATGAGCCCCCGCCACCGGCATCGTGCCGGCCGAGGCTTCCGGTAGGTCCGCGCGGTGTTCTGGCCGTTAATCCCTCCGTCTTCCACGCCGGCAACCTCGACAGAGAGCCATACCGCGCGCAGGGTAGTTGCTGCGGCGGTGCCAGAGGTGCCGGTGCCGTCGCCAGAAACGCCTGCGTGTGTGAAGATGGTGGCGCGGCTGCGGTCGAGGACGACCACGCGAATTGGAGAGGAGAAAGAGGAGGCATGCCGGAGTTTTGAGAGCTGCCTGATGGAGATTTTGACGGAGGAAGGCAAATCGCGGGACCTGCAGGACGTGGAGGAACTCCTACAGTGCTGGGAGCGGCTCAAGTCGCCGGTGTTCGTCGATCTAGTCTGCCGGTTCTACGGCGATCTGTGCAAGGACTTATTCTCCTCCGCCGCTGGGGGTGAGGACGCCGGAAACACTGACCAGGACCTGGGGCAAGTTTCCATGTCGGCTGCTTTACTAGTGTAACTCATTGCCACGTCATGTTGTAAGTTTGCAACACAGAAACCTTAATTTTACAGTTTACGCCATGAAGGCCTCGGATATCCGTGGGTGCTCCTGGAAAAGTGCGCTCCTGCGCGCGAAAATGTATTTTTGAAATATCAAAAATAATTCCAACAAAAATTTTATATGTTCTTTGTCACTTTCAAAATGCTACATACAAATTTGTAGGCAAAAAGATTAGACACTTTGCCATGTGCGGAAAAAAACTAAATGTTACCCCAAAATGTCACACTAAATTTGTTTTTTACTGGCGAAACACCGCTGCTCCGTTTCGCATGAAAATTTTCAAGGATGCTTGTGACACTAACACAAACATTTACAAACAAATTCAGAATTTTTATAAGAATATTTATTATATTCATTTTGTTAACTATTCACGCGGGAGCGCGCGCTCCTGTAAGCCAAAACACCATTCTCGTGATGGCCTTCCCTGAAAAATATATCGTAATGGATGTCTGGATTGCGACGTGCTGCTGCAATGGCCATCATGAGGTCATTGCACGTGAGAGCTATGTCTCATTTGGAGTTTCTGGCGCCCACGCGACTCCGGAAGGTCCTATTTGGCGCTGTAGGCGCCTGAACCTGAAAGTGGCGCCTACAGTGCGCCCTCTATGGGCTTTTTAAGCGCAGCCCAGAAAGAGATACGATCATGAAAAAATAACGCCTAAAATTAGAGCCACGGGGAATCGATCTCACGCCACATAACCCTTCCGCTGCTTAGCTTAATCACTAGACCACCAAAATGCTAGTAAACAAAAGCAACACGAACTATATTAGAACTAATGCAGCCACATTATTTGTTACTCAACCATTTACTATACCACTTGGATTTTTGAGTTATTTGCAAACAATTTGGAAACTGTCTATTTTCTTTAATGAAAAACAGTTCATCAAATTTCGAAAAAAGTTCATGATTTCAAAAAAGTTCATCGGGTTTAAAAAAAAGTTTATCGGATTTGAAAAAAGTTCATCGATTTTGAAGAAAAAATCATCGAATTTGAAAAAAGTTCAATGATTTTGAAAAAAAGTTCATCGGATTTGATAAAAGTTCACCGATTTTGAAGAAAAGTTCATCGAATTTAAAAAAAGTTCATCGCTTTCGAAAAAGTTCATTCGATTTGAAAATTTTTATCGATTTTGAAAAAAAGTTCATCGGATTGGAAAGAGAAGTTCATCGGTTTGGAAGAAAAGTTCACGATCTAAAAGACCACGCATTTGATGAAAAATAAAAGAAAAAGGAAAATAAGTAGAAAAAAGAAAAAAAGAAAAAGAATAAAACAAACTGACGAACAAATAAATGGAAGAAGGAGAAAGGAATACACAACAGGGTTAGTGGCCTTTGCAACGGTCGGGTTGAGAGTTCGATCTCATGCCTGCACCTTTTTTTGGAATTTATCGAAACACAAGCGCCAAGTGGTGCAGGTTGCTAACAAAAGGTAATGGGCCGAGCCCAGCTAATCCGCTGCAGGCGCCGGTTTGCAGAAAATAGCTGTAACTGGCGCCTGCAACGCCGAATAGGAAATGCCCGCGACTCCTGGTGTTCCGGTCTATCACGAGGCAAAAAAAATTGCTCGCCAGCTCACACGTACGTGCACTCGTTCTCCCTCATGGGAGGCACCTTTGGTTGGGCAAACCTCATGAACCAATTGTAATTCCTGCAAACATTCTAGCTAATAAATAAAAGGCCTAGCCGGCTTTTCTCAACAAAAAAACGTACGCTCGTTCTCCTTCTCCGGAAAAACCGTATGCTCGTTCTCCACTTCAATCAAAACAAAAATGTACACTTCGTTCAACAGCTGAACGATCAAACGTTAACCTCTGAAAAAATGGAAAAAAGTTCAGAAAAAACCACAGAAAATCGAAAACGTTCGTGAATTCAAAAATATTCGCGATTGTTAAAAAAGTTTACAAACTCCAAAAAAGTTCTCAAATTGGAAAAATGTTCATCGAAATCTAAACAATTCATTTTTTTAAAGTCCATCAATTCCCAAAATGGTTCACAAAATTGCAAATAAAGCTTACAAAATTAAAAAAAGTTCATCGATTTGTAAAAAAGTACACAAACTTGAAAAAACATTTCATTGATTTCTAAAAAAATAATGAAGTTGATAAAAATCATCTATTTTGAAAAAACATTCATCAATTTTGTTAAAAGAAGTTCATCAAATTTGAAAAAGGTTCACCCGTTTTCAACAAAAGTTCACGAGTTTGAAAATAAGTTCATAGTTTTGTATAAACAAATCATCAAAATTTAAAAGAGTTCATCGGTTTTGAAAAAAAGTCCATCGATTTGAAAGAAAATTGTTACAATTGAAAAAGTTCATCGGTTTTCAAAAAAGTTTATCGAATTTGAAAAGAGTATGTCAAATTTGCAAAAAATCAATGATTTTTAGGAACATTGTAGAATTCAAAAAAAGTTCATTGATGAAAAAAAATCATTCAATTTGAAAAATTCACCGAATTTAAAAAAAGTTCATGGTTGTGAAAAAAGTTCATTGATTTGGAAAAAAAGTCCAACAAATTTTAAAAAATCTCATCAAGTTCGAAAAATAGGTCACCGGTTTGAAGAAAAACTTCATTGAATTTAAAAAGTTTGCTCATTTTTAAAAAGATAAATAAAAAGAAAGAAAAAAAATCGAAAATACAGGATGGGTGTAAGTGAACACACAATGTGTGTTGTCCCAGGTGGTTAGTGCACCTCCTGTGAGCAAAGAGATCGGGGTTTGATTCCTTACCCGCGCACCCTTTTTTCCAATTTTGAAATAAAAAAGTAAGCAACTGGGCCGGCGCAGCTCTGAGGAATTTCACCCGTCCATTTGCAAATGGGCGCTGAAGCGCCAAATAGAATCCAGCTATAGCGAGACCTAATTTTCTTCGTTCCATTCTCAATTTTCACCGGTTTTTTATTTTTTATTTTTATTCTTTCTTTATTGGTTTTTAATGTTTCTTTGCTTTTCTTTCTTTCTTCGTTTCTTTCTTGGTTTTCATTATTTTCTTTGTGTTCTTCTCGGTTTTCTTTGTTCCATTCTTTTGCATTCATTTCTTCAGTATTTCATTTCATTTTATTTCTTTTCTTTTTTATTGGGTTTTTTTTTCACTGGCTTCTTTTTTGCTCAATATGTGTTAACATTTTTTGAACACTTTCAACTTTTTTCTTATACATAATTTTTTTTCTATATACAAGTTTAACATTTTAAAATACATGGTTAATATTTTTTTTATAACTTATATTTTTTATGTATACTTCTTCTCAGTACATATTATAAATTTTTGGTACTCATTCAGATCCATATTATTTGTCTTATATTTGTGTAGTTATGAATGTACCCAACACTGAAACATGTCTAGATACATCTATATCTAGAAAAATATAAGACAAGCAATATGGATTGGAGAGAGTATATATCAAATACATTTTTCTAATACGCGTTTAGTATCTTTCAAATATAAGTTTAACATTTTTTAAATGGTCAATATTTTTGTATACACTAACAAGTACTTGATTAACGTTTTTCAAGTACAAGATTAACATTTTCTGAATATTCGGTCAACACTTTTTCTACATACATTTATCATTTTCAAATGCTTGATTAGCATTTTTCAAATACAAGGTTAACATTTTTTTAGTATATTGTAAACATTTTTTCTCAACACATTTAACATCTTTAAAATGCTTGCTTAACATTTTTTGAGTACTTGTTTAACAGTTTTTCAAATTATTGATTAACATTTTTAAATACATGATTAACTTTTCTCACACACATTGTATATTTTCTGTATATGAGAAACATTTGATGTATGTGCAATTAACATTTTTCAAATGCTTGTTTCATTTTCTTTTAAATGTTTTATGTAAAGTGTTGTTTTAATATGTTTATTCACAAAACTTAGAAATATAACAAAAGTAGAAAAGGAAAGCAAAAACAAAAACAAAAAATGTGAAAAAAACAAGGTTGTGGCTCCCGCATGCCTAGGCCGGTCCATCTTGCGCTTGCCTTCATACAAGAGTTCCCTACGTCTCGCATGAAGCGAGACATAAGGGCGCCCTAGGCTGAGTGAGGCAAATGGTGGGAGGATGGACATGTTGGGCAATATTCTGTAGGATTAGTGAAATATGTTTTTAGAGCCCGTCATCTAACTAAATTTGGCAGCCCAAAAAATCCTAACTAAAATTTGGTTAGTGGCCACTAGCAATCGAAATCATTCCCCAAAACAAAACATTCTAAAAAAAGTTAGCAACCAAATTATCAAGGACTTCATAGTGATGTACATAACCTTTTGGCCAATTATAGGCCAAGTTAGCATGCAAAGAGGAAGTTCATTCACGAGGAGATCCATCATAAACCCTCTCGACTTTTGCTTTCATACAAAATTTCCTAAAACAACTAGTGATCATGAAGTATCCGAAAATCAACTCTAAACCTAGGTCTTCCTTGCTACTTCTTGAGCTTGCATTGGTTTTCCCCTTGAAGAGGAAAGGGTAATGCAGCAAAGTAGAGATAAGTATTTCCCTCAGTTAGAGAACCAAGGTATCAATCCAGTAGGAGGTACAAGCAAGTCCCCCTATGTACCTGCACAAACAATCAAACACTTGCACCCAACGCGATAAAGGGGTTGTCAGTCCTTCACAGTCAATTGCAAAAATAAGATCTGATAAAGATTGATAAGATTGCTAAAACTTAAAACAAAATAAAAGGTTTATAGATCTGAAAATATATAATAGAAAATAGACCCGGGGGCCATAGGTTTCACTAGAGGCTTCTCTCTTGAAAGCAAATAATACGGTCGTTGAACAAATTACTGTCGAGCAATTGATAGAAAAACACAAAGTTATGACGACATCCAAGGCAACGATTATGCATATAGGCATCACGTCCGTGTCAAGTAGACCGACTCCTGCCTGCATCTACTACTATTACTCCACATATCGACCGCTATCTAGCATGCATCTAGAGTATTAAGTT